TATCTTGCTTGCGATGCTGTCGATATCATTTTGTTGACTATACTGGCACACTCCCAGCGCACATAGTTGACAAAGTTTCCTTTGATGCGGAGCAGACATATCTGCTGGGATATATCTGTTCTCGGTTGTACTGGTGGTGGGAACATCAATTTCACCATAGAACTTTTGTTGCACTTTATTCAGCAGTTCTGTGACCACACGTTCTACGTCTGAATCCTCCCACTTAGCAGTTTCAAATACGTCGTTGCAATTTTTGCACTTTTGTCCCCCTAGAAACAGCTTCACGTTACCACGTCGTTCATTTTGGGAAGGAGGAAGACGATAGTGAAATATTGCTCCACCGTTAACGGACGTCCATCTATTGCTGCATGTACTATACAGTCAAACCTTGCCATTCCTTTGCGTCGCATTTCTAGCCATCCGCTTTCCTGCTCTACATTGCTTACTATTTCCAAATTCCACGGGTCATCCAGGTCATAGAACTGGTCGTCGAATTTTGTCTTCCATTCTTGATGAGCCATATTGCTGTAGTCTAAAACAATTATAAACTAAATGCTTATCTCATCAGTTTTTTTCAAACAGTTTGTATATGACATATCGTCTAATTTCTCTCTTTCGACACAGTAAATAAAACCTATAATTGCTAATTGTAAAAATTGTCAAAACCTAATTAAAAACTAAGACTCAAAGTGTGGCATATTAAAAATATCATTCATTGGTCATATATGCAAAGGATTTAAAAACGTGTAAATGGATTTATTAAACCGTGAGATTGTCGGATTGGAGGGATTCAACTACCAATTCGACGTTTCGAGCGAAGGCTCTTTGTCGTCTAACTTCCCGGCGACGAAGGCGTTGGCTTTTTCAACACAGACCGACCGCCTTGGGCAAAACAAAAATAATTCCATAGGGAAGTTAGTGACGACGAAGGACCTTCGCTCGAAAAGTAGTTGAATTCATGTAGTTGAATTCTTCTCAATCCTGACAAACAGAGCGTAATTCGGGTTTATTAAACCTTGTGTAAACAATAACATACACATGGAAAACACTTTAACTGATCATGACATACACCCCTTAGCCCTTAATATAGGTCTGGTTCGGACGGTCGGACGAAGCACCTTCAAAACGTCGAAAATAGTTCCAAGTTTTGAGGAATGTATGCCAACATATAAATGTCAACTAATTTCCAATTCTTTGTTCCCGGCATTGCATGCGGCCGTGCAGCAGTCGACGGAAACTTCTAACATTTTTCACACACAATTAAAAAAATAATTTTCCAACTTACATAAAATTTCTTCGATTTCAGATCAACTCTGCCAGCTAGCTTCACCAAGTAATTTGAACTGCGCAATGAATGAAATATTTATAATATTTTCTATAAAATGAAACTAGACGTGTAGTTAAGTTGTTGCAGCCGCAAAAAATGAAAACAATTACAAAGTAGTTTGGGACCTGTTTTGCCCGTTGCTATAATAATGAATTTATCACATCAACTCGGTGGCGAGAATAGGAATGGAGGCGTCTGCCCCCCTCTCCACTTTTCTTCGAGACCAATTTTGCAGTTTCTGATGAGAAACAAGTCCCGAGAGAGTTTTATCAATGAAAACACTTAAAGTCAGGGTGCCAAAAATTGAAGTATCTAGTATCGCCTTATTTTGTGCCTATATTGTATATTAAATATTCATAATTCTCTGTTTATACCTGTTAAAACAATTTTCTTACACGGGACGAAAAGACAGATTTACGCACGCGTAAAGTAAATGGCAAAGTTGTTGCAAAAATTAAATTTACCGAATTTGCTTAACTTTGCCCACTTGCAATTATGAAAATTACCAATACCTTTACACCCGCTGTTTAAGAGCCATTGCCGTGATCGCAATACGTAAAGATGTTGTAAAATCATGCGTAAAGGTAAATTTTGCAAAACTTTGCTCGCTTGTAAATATATTGCAAAGACCAACTTTGCAAATGACTTTACGCTATGAAATGTTGCTAACAAATATTAACTTTGCCCAAATATGCACGTTTGCAAAGTTATTGCAAAATTGAACTTTGCAAATATTACAAATAACTTTGCAGACTTGGAATACAAGAACTTTACATAGTGTTTTGCGTGCGGGAAAAATCATAAGCAATTATTGATTTTGATTAGATTTGCTCAGTAGCAAATTTAGTACAAAAACGAGCTTTGCTTATAATCAGGAATCACTTTGCAAAAGTGGCATAAACGAACTTTTCATTGATTTTGCACCAGAGAGGAAAGTGCGCGCGATAAAAGACTATAAATCTCAAAAAGAAATTGAAAACATAATATATTTTGAATACTTTTCAATACAAGTATATGAATATATTATAATAATTATACAGCATAGCATAAACTAGTAGGAGTTTAGGACTAGCAACCCCGCCGTAAATTCTACATAATATAATATCATTAATTAATAATGTATAACACATACAAAGACTACTCAAGTATATTATAGACTTATAATCTGCATGATGCATGTTCAGATCTTCAATAAAAGAAGCAAGACAAAATTTATAACAGATAAGTAGGATGTATATAAAAAGCGGCTCAAATCACGCATAATAATGGTTTTATTGACTGTCTATGTGTGCACACGGTAACTCTTCAGCGTATAGACTATAGTCGTTACAGTTACATTAATACAAAAGTGACGGGTGATGAACTCTAGCTAAAACGAAACACAGTTGTCAGAGTGAGGAGATTGTTCGTTTTATGTATTAGCCTCGTTTTTGGTGGCAAATACCATGGAATTTCGTACAATTTTCTCACTCCAGTACAGCATGAACATCAATACAATTGCAAGTCTGTCAACAACCCGTCAAAAGTTGTGTAAAAACTGCTTGTCCCAGGTTGTCAACAAGTTTGGAACAAACTGCATTGTTAAAAAATAACAACTTGTAACACTATAATCCTGTTGATATTAGCAGAATTGTAACAAGGTTGTTTCAACAAGTCTTATACAGTTTTGATAAAACAATCTTGTTGCTATAGCTTGGTGTTGTCAACCTTGTAAGATTCTTGTTATATCATGACTGTAGCAGACTTTTTGAACAACCTTGTAACAACTAACAAGTCTGATAATGCCATCAAGCTTTTAGTGCCATCAAGCTTAAGCTTGTTACAAGTCGTTAACAGCTAATTGTTCTAAACTTTTTACGACAACTAGGAACAGACAATGCAAACACATCTTTTCGACAGTTTGTGAACAGATTTGTAACAATTAAGTAACAACTTGTTTGCAGACTTGTAACAACACACGCCGTATAGTTCAGACAAATATACGTAGGATACACCGTTTTTTTGATGATCATAAAAAACAAATGCGCCGTTTTTTTACTAATAAAATGCACGTCCGATTCCCTTAGAAAGTGGAAACATATATATGCAGTATGAACTTTGTTGTGGATAATACATGCAATAGTTACAATCCTATGCAAAATAAACGAGAAACTCCATGCTCCCGCGCATCCTTCTCAAAGTTGGTTAGTGATTGTTAGCACCGTTTCAGGCCTTCCCTTTCAATTTCGACTTCAAATCGCAACATTGGATGAGGGAAAGAGGGATAGGACTTAAAAAATCATGATGGCACGTTTTATGTTGCAAGAGATTGTAGCTACTTACTATTTAATTTTACCGGGCATGAAGAGATCAAATATGCAGGTTAGTATATATAATAGTCAGAGTATAAATAACAGTTGCATATATATATATATATATATATATATATATATATATATATATATATATATATATATATATATATATATATATATATATATATATATATATATATATATATATATATATATATATATAAGAG